CTGTACTGTACTCCACTGCACTGCACCGCACCGCCCCCCCCACTCTCATCACCTCTGTACTCCACTGCACTGCACTGCACTGCACTGCCCCATCTTCCCCACTCTCAGGTCACCTCCACATGCACACCTGAGTCAGTCAGAGGTCAGAGTGTCACCTTGTTTAACCCCAGCTAGGAACATGCAAGTTAATGAGTCAAACAGCCATCACTCTGCACAAGTTTGACTTGGGGGTTACAAACAACCTTTAGGGAGTAAGCAAATCTGCAATACAGAATCCATGTAAAATGAAGACCCACTGTGCCTAGTGGAGTCAGAGGTAACATCCCATAATCAGACACATGGACATTTCTGACACAGAACGCACAGATACTCACACTGAGACAAAGTCTACACATATTATCACATCAGTTCAGGTCAAGGAAGGCTGGTGGTCAAAACATCTTGCTGCTGAACTTAGGAAGAATGTTAGTTTTCAAGGTGTGTTTGTATTTCATGATGCATTTTTTCATAGAAAAACATCATGACTTTTCCAACAACCTAGTACTTGTTATTTTAATTTTTAATTAATTAATTAATTAATTTACATTACATTTACATACATACATATATATATGAAACTAGAAATAAAAATATATGTTTATATATGTATGTTTATATATGTGTGTATATATACATATGTATGTATACATATATGTGTATATATGCGTGTATGTGTATATAAATATACATACATATATTTCCTCCGATTTCTTACCCTCTGCCATTTTCCACCCTCCTCCCACACTAACTCAGGTGTCTACAGTTATTTTTCATTTCTTTTTTCCCCCCACATTTAATTGATTTACAAAATTTCTTAAATAATATAACTATTTTCAATAGCAAGTTCAGCTGGTATATACATATCTGTGAATATATTCTGACTTTAGGCATGAAACTCTGAGTAGAATGAATATAGTATAAAGTAGCACCTAGCTGATGCTATATAGCTTACTACAGTCATTAAATAGGTATTTTTTAATATATTTTTTAATTTCAAGAAAAGCAGATTTAGCTTTAATAAATCAAAGAAATGCTAAGGAACTTTGCTTAAAACTTAAAGTCAAGAGGGGTGGGGTGGCACCCACCCTATGGCAAAACACAAAACCAGGAAACAGGTTAGGATTCTGTTCAAATAGTAGGTCCATGAACCTATCGACAGCTCAAGACAGGACAAAAATCCTTAAAACTGGAAAACAAAGCCTAGAAGAAAATCAGCAATGTTTTAGTCAAAAGTCATAAAATGCTATTTCACCAGTTCAGTCTCATGTACTTAATCTATCTTCTGTTGTGGTTCAATCTCCCTGATTAAATTCTGGGATATAATATTAAACTACAGACATGTCCCTACCATTAAGTTGGCCCTTATCTTAGTTTTTGAACTCTTATTTCTGTGTGTCTGTATTTAATGTTCCTGGTATAGCACTCCCTTCAGAACTTCTTAGAGATTTGGTCTGGTGTTGGCAAATTCTTTCAGGTTTTGTTTATCTGAGAATGTTCTTGTCTTTTCTTCCCATGTGAAGGATAATCTTGCTGGGTACAGTATTCTTGGCTGAAATTGCTTTTCCCTTAACACTTTGGATATATTTTCCCATTCTTTCCTTGCTTGCATTGTTTCTGATGACAAGTCTGCTGTTAGCCTGATGGGATGTCCTTTGCAAGTAACTTGATGTTTCCCTCTTGCCAATCTTAGTTTCTTGTCTTTGTCTGTGGTTTTAGTCAACCTGGCTATAATGTGTCTTAGAGAAGATCTTCTTGGGTTGATTCTATTTGGGGTCCTCTGTATTTCTTGGGACTGGATCTTTGAATGCCTCTCTAGGTTTGGAAAGTTTCCTTGCAGGATTTCATGGAATAGATTATCAATGCCCTTATGAATCTCTTCACCTTCTGAGATAGCAATTATACGATGTTTGGATGTTTGACAGTATCTAGTATTTCTCATATCTTATTTTCATTATGGGGGCAATTTTCTCAGTCTTTATGGTGGATTTTTCCAGACCAGTGATTCTATCTTCTACATCTGAGATTTGATTTTCTGTATGATCTAGTC